ATATTTGACCAAGAAGCCAAAGACATACAATGGAAGAAACACAGCCTTTTCAACTACTGGTGCTGAGAAAACTGGGAGGCCACATACAGAAAACTAAAAGTGGAACCCAACCTATTACCATGTACCAACATCATCTCAAATGGATTAAAGACTTTAACATCAAACCTGAATCTCTGAAATTACTTCAGGACAGACTAGGAGAGACACTTGAACATATAGGCACAGGCAGGAACTTCCTGAACAGAGTCCCAGGGTCACAAAAAATGGGAGAGACTTGACAAATGGGGCTACCTTAAAATAAAAAGTTTCTGCACAGCTAAAGTCATAGCAACCAAGCTAGAAAGACAACCAACTAACTGGGAAAAAATATTTACCAGCAATATATCAGACAAGGGGTTAATATCTAGTATATATAGGGAACTCAAGAAACTAACCCTCCCAAACCTAACAAACCAATTACTTAATGGGCAAGGAACTAAAGAGAGACTCCGCTGAAGAAGAGATAAAAATAGCAAAGAAACACATGAGGAAATGTTCACCATCCCTGGTTGTGAAGGAAATGCGAATAAAGACAACCCTGAGTTACCACCTTACCCCAGTCAGAATGGCCCACATCCTCAAGTCAGCCAACGACAAAAACTGGAGGGGATGTGGAGAAAGAAGAACCCTATTCCCTGCTGGTGGGAATGTACACTTATACAACCACTTCGGAAAGCAATCTGGAGAGTCCTCAGAATGCTAAATATTTACCTCCCTTATGACCCAGTCATACCACTTCTAGGCATCTATCCTGAACAACGAACACATGGGCCTCCATGTTTATTGCAGCACTGTTCACAATAGCCAGGATATGGAAACAATCCAGATGCCCCACCACAGATGAATGGATCCAAAAATTGTTGTATGTATACCCAATGGTATATTATCCAGCCATTAGAAAGGACAAAATAATGGCATTTGCAGGGAAATGGATTGAGCCACAAGAAATCATGTTGAGCAAGGTAAGCCAAGAGGAAATAGATAAATGGCCTCCCTGATAAGTGGATATTAAATCCAAATCCTAAGATGATATGACAAAATAAGAAGGCTTAAGAAACAAAGGACTTCCACTCATCTGGTCAAATCATTACCAAATAATCCCATGCTGCTGATCACATATATGCTATATTTGTGCACACCAGAGGGAAACCAGGAGGAAGAAACAGAACTAGAGGGAATTAGGGAAAAACATACAACAGCGGGACCCATCAGCTGCACTGGATATTGATCAAAATGAACTCAGCAACTCAATGGCACTAATGGGAGGGAGGGAACAAGTGGAAAAGAAGGAACAGCTGATGCTATGCAAAACAAAAGAAATGTGCATATCACCTGATGTGGAAGAAATAACTGTATTGCCAAGCTCATAGAACTCATAAATGTTATAGACCACGATAGACAATTTGCCCCATGAAAGTTAGAATTTGTTTGTGACTTTCACTAAGCATCAATATCCCACATTATTGTGAAATTTGGGAAATTATGTAATCAATCACAATAAAGAATTTTAAAAAAAGCCACCTTCTTGCCAGGTGCCAGTATAATCCTAGATAGTCAGAGGATTGAGATCTGAGGATCGTGGTTCAAAGCCAACCCAGACAGGAAAGTCCGTGAGACTCTAATCTCCAATAAAACTACTCAGAAGACCAGAATTGGTGCTATGGTTCAAGTGGTAGAGTGCTCCCCTTCAGCTGAAGAGCTGAGGACAGCACCCAGACCCAGAGTTCAAGCCCCACAACCACCACCAACAACAAAAAAGCCACATTCAGGAGGGTTCCATGTGGGTGCTAAGTACTGAATGGGCAAACTCACTGAGAAGAAAGGAAAACATGAGGGGAGCAGAGTCTCTGTGACTGCCTTGGGGGACAGGGTATCTGTGGCAGCATCAGGGCCGGGGATGGGTTTGGGAGGTGGCCTTGGTCTGGATTTCATCATGGTGATGGTTGGACACCATTGCAAATATAGGAAAAACCATATCACTGTATAGGTTAAAGTAGTTAGTGATGAATTCCTGTTAGATGAATTGATTTGCAATATAAAAAAGATACAGATGTACATTGAAAATGACCCAGGGATTGCAAATTTGCCCCAAGACTGTCCAAGGTCAAAGGTGTCATTCAGTGCTTGTGATCTGTTGAACCAGGGCCAAACGAATTGCCAAAAGTGAAAGAAAACAGAACCAACCACAAATATTTTGCCCCTAAGAAGCACGTGATAGATTTCCCACAATATAAAGAATAACTTAGCCATATATATATATATATATATAATATATATATATATGTGATACATATATATATGTAATACATATATACGTATATATGTATATAGAGAGGTTTTATATATACACATGTGTGTGTGTGTATATATATATAGATAGATAAATAGATAGAGATAGATAGATAGATAGATAGATAGATAGATAGATAGATAGATAGATAGATAGATAGATAGATAGATGGATAGATAGATGGGCCTGGATGCTGTCCCTCAGTTCCTCAGCTCAAGCAGAACACTCTACCACTTGAGCCAAAGCACCACTTCCAGTTTTCTGGTGGTTCATTGGAGATAAGATCCTCAGAGACTTTTATGGCCAGGCTGGCTTTGAACCAGGATCCTCAGATCTCAGCCTCCTGAGTAGCTAGGATTAGAGGCATGAGCCACCAGCGCCCAGCACTAGCTATATTGAAGAGTTAATCTCATTGATACACACACACACACACACACACACACGTGCAAACATGTACACACACACAGTTAGACACAAGATTGCTCACTGTCCATTTCCATTATTACAATGGAACCAGAGCCATGAAGGTCCATTGGCCAGGGACATCCACAGACCCAGGTGGACACCTGGGCAGGAGGTACCATGGTCCTGGAGGCCAAGGTCTGGCTGCGACCTCCCAGGTGCTGGGAGGATGAGCCAAGGCCCAGCACAGCCTGGGAGACCACTGGCCCCTTCTCTGAAGGAGACTGCACATCTGGGGACAGAACCCCCTGCTCACCCCAGTGTTTGTAGGGCACCTGAGACTTGCATGGTGCCCCACATCTCTCTCTTGGGTCACATGCATGATGCGCACTGCTGTTGGGGAGGCCGAGGCTGACAGGGGCCTCTCCCAGGAGCCCATCTCCTGGGGGCAGGGACATCTGCTGGGCCTTTGAATGTGGGGAGCTGGGTCTCCACAGACAACTCTGGGGCAAGGAGGGATGGTGACAGGCCTATGTCCGGCTTTGGGGCCTGGCTGGCGTGGGAGAGGAGAGGAAGGGGCTCTCCCCTGGGCTATGGGTCACTAAGGAAGCAGAAATTAAAGTCAATGTCGGGGGCTTTCTTGGTGGGGCCCTTAGGTGGAGAGGGAACACTCCTGGTGGTAAGGGGTGCAGGTGCTTAAATGGACTTGTAGTGTAAATGTATATGAGTAATCTTTGTTTATTTCTTGGTATACGAATAGCACCAGGGCTGGGAAGGTGGCTGGGAAGATATAGTGTGCCTGCCTTGCATGCATGAAGCCCTGGGTTCAATTCCTCAACACCACATAAGCAAAACAAAAGCCAGACTTGGCGCTGTGGCTCAGTGCTAGAGAGCTAGCTGTCAAACAAACAAACAAAAAGAATAGCTGTAATATTAGAGAAGTTATACTGATATATATATATATATATATATATATTTCTAATATTCAACCTTAACTAGATATCTTCTTCTTCTTCTTCTTCTTCTTCTTAGTTTTGTTTGAGGGGGGGGGTCTGGTCGTGGGGACTGAACTCTGGGCCTGGGCGCTGTCCCTCAGTGCTTCAGCTCAAAGCTAGTGCTCTACCACTTAAGCCACAGTGCCACTTCTGGCTTTTTTTCTCTTTGCTTATGTGGTGCTGGGGAATTGAACCCAGGGCCTCAGGCATGCAAGGCAAGCAATCTACCACTATGCCACCTTCCCAGTCCCAGATATCTTCTTCTTTTTTCTTATCTTCTTCCCCTTCCTCCTCCTCCTCCTGCTTCTTCTCTTACTATTCCTCCTCCTCTTTCTTTTTTCTTTTTGTTTTTTTGTCAGTTGTGTCACTTGAACTCTGGGCCTGGGTGCTGTTCCTGAGGTCTTCAGCTCGATGTCAGTGCTCTACCACTAAGCCACAGCTCTACCTCTGTTTGTCTGTTGGTTAATTGGAAATAAATGTCTTTCTTGCCTGGGATGGCTTTGAACAGGGATCCTCAGATCTCAATGTCCTGAGTAGGTAGGATGACAGGTATGAGCAACAGGTGCCAGCTTATTCTTCTGTATTTTGCTCTGGTCCTACAGTTTGGACACCGCCATTGATGCTTTTACATTGAAATCTGAGGATTGACCCCCAGCCTCAATTCCAGCTAATTGAAGCCTTGGCTGGCTTTGAACTACAATGCTCAGATCTTAGCCTCCTGAGTAGCTAGGATTACAAGTGTGAGCCACTGGTACCTGGCTTGTAATTCTGTTTTCCTATGTATACAGGATCTGGTGGCCAACCATAGTCTGTGCAGCTAATTCCTTTGTGTGTGTGTGTGTGTGTGTGTGTGTGTGTCTGTGTGTGTGTGTGTGAATTTATGAGCGTGTGCCTGTACTGGGATTTGAACTCAGAGCCTGACACTCTCCCTTTTGCTCAAGGCTGGTGCTCTACCACTTGAGCCACAGCTCTACTTCCAGACTTTTGGTATTTAAGGGGACATAAGAGACTGAGGAATTTTCCTGCCCAGGGTGGCTTGGAACCCTGGTCCTCCAATCTCAGCCTCCTGAGTAGCTAGGATTACAAGCATGAGCCACAGGCGCCTGTGGCTCATCCTAAAGAATTTGTAAATGTTACTAAAGAGACTTTGCATTGGGTGCTCTGAGCCTCTTTATTGCCGCCTCCTGGCTCCCTTGTTGAGTTCCACATCTATAGCCTAGGAGACCCTCTGTGGAAATGGATTTCTGCGTAATTCTCTTCAGGGTCCCTGGGCTTCAGGATCTCAAGAGGCCGGGAGAAGTTGAGAGCAGCATAATGGATTTCTTCCGGGCAGTCTCTGAGTCTGGATCTTGTGTGGGTGATGCGGGCTCGGGGCAGCTGAGGGCGGCCTTTTCCTTCTTCCTTGGTTCTGGGGAACCAGCGCCTGGAGAAGCGGTCCTGGGAGGGCTGCTTGGCTTGGCCTTCTTTTTCTGCATACAAGAAACAATAACCTCCCTTCATTCATTCATTCATTCACCTACCAGAGTTGGGCATTGAGCAGGTGCCTGGTACAACTTAGGCACTGAGGCCACAGCTGGGAGAAAAACCCAGTCCCCCACTGAGTCTGCTTTCCATCCCCACCCAAAGGAACAAAGGGTACAAGGGAACTGGTTTTGTGGCCAACAGAGGTGGCTAGGGTGGGTGTGGCTTGGGGTGTGAGTGGCCACTGTGGGCCTTTCATTTCCTAGGCAGGTGCTCTACCAGTTTGGCCTTGCTCCCAGCCCCTTTTGCTTTCATTGCTGTTCCAGCAAACTCTGGTCTTTATGTTCAGGCAAGCCTTGAACCATCATTCTCTCAATCTTAGCCTGCCAAGGAGCCAGGATGACAGACATGAGCCACTGTGCCTAGCTTGGTTTTATGATTTTGATGGTGGGCTGTCAGCAGCACATCCTGTTTCTTGTCTCCCCACTTCCAGCCTCCTTCCCTGCACCCTATAACCGAGAATGGAAGAAAACCCAAGCAGTCACTATGGCCTCCTGGAATCAAGAGGCACACACTCTGGAAGCATGCCACTAGTCCCTTGGGAGTCAGGGACACCTCACACAACCTTTCTAAAGATGACTGGAGCAGAGAGGCACACAGTTATAATCCCTGCATTCAGAAGGCTGAGGGGCAGGAGGATGGCCAATTTGAAGCCATCCAAGACTACATAGCAACACCCTGTGCCAGACAAACAAAAATCCCTATGTCTCCCAAGAGAAGTAGGACATAGGGCTTGATTTAGACTCCAGAGTGATCAGAAGCCTGGTGGGCCACACACTCACCGGGACCCGGGCCTTAGGGTTGACAATGCTGTTATCAAGGACGGTGCTGTGTGGGGAGACATGAGTTCTGCATGTCTCTGTGTGAGGCTGTGATTTCCTCAGCATCTTCACACTGTGGAAATAAACCCATTCTGGGAGCACTGCTGCCCCTTCCCCTTCCCAGGCTCCTGACCCCATGACTCCTGACCTCTGGCTCCTTGACCTCCCCCAACTCACATGAGCACGATGAGGCAGAGGAAAAGGAGAGATGTGGCACCGATGCCCAGGCCCGCCCCCTTGGAGAATGCTGCAGAGATGGAGCCTTCATCTGTGTGGGAGAGCCAGGTCAGGTTATCTGGGAGGTATAAGGCTGCCATCCCTCCACTGCGTCTGAGCCTCATTCTGATCCAGGTTTTCCCATTAGTCCCCTGTTATTCCTCCCCAGCCTGCCACACACCAGGGACTCTGCTGACCAGGGACTCTGCCAACTGTTCCCTCCAGAGGGCAGTGGACAGCACTGTCCTCCACTCACAGTGCACAGAGAGGCTCAGGGAGATGTGCAGGTCACCCAGTGGGTTCTGGGCCCGGCAGGTGAATTCTCCTTCATGTTCTGCCTGGACCATGGGCAGCTCCAGCACCCCAGGTTCTGCAGGCCAGGGGGGGCTCAGCATTTTCGAACCCTGGGTCCAGGTCAGCGTGGCCGTAGGGTGGCTGTGGGTGACACAGACCAGGCGCAGGCTTTGTCCCTGCAGGACATGAAGTGATGAGCCGTTCCTGTGGATTTCCAGCTCTAGGGGAGGGAGAGAGAGAGATGTGGGCGCCATCCCCACCAGTAAAGGACGTGAGAGACCCGGCTTCCTGTGTCCCCTGTCACCTGTGCTGTTTCCTTGAGAAGCGGTCACTGTCAGCGCCTCCGGAGAGTCTGCAATGGAGACACAATGGCCAGGGCTCCCTCTGCCTGCGCCTCACTCACAAACCGAGGCCCTGGGCTTGGTGGGCCCTGGAAGCTGTGGTGCCCTGCCCCTCCCCTGGCTTCTCCCCTCTTCTTTTTTGGGGGGGTCTGTTTGTGGGCCTTGAACTCTAGGCCTGGGCCCTTTTCCTCAGCTCTTCAGCTCAAGGCTAGCGCTCTACCACTTGAGCCACAGCACCACTTCCGGCTTTTTTCTTTCTGCTTATGTGGTGCTGATGAATCGAACCCAGGGCCTCAGGCATGCAAGGCAAGCACTCTACCACTGAGCCACCTTCCCAGCCCGCTTCTCCCCTCTTCTTCCCTTCCCCTGCCCCTCCCCTGCCCACTTTGGGTCCACTCACACTGCACACAGACGTTCAGGGAGTGGCGCTGGGAACCTAGTCTGTTCTCCGCGTGGCACGTGTAGCGCCCCGCATCCCTAACCTTCACCCGGGGCAGGTCTAGCCCCAGATTTCCAGGGTGCGTGGCATTTGACCTCAAGAGGACTTGGTTCCCCAGGACCCAGGTCATCGTGGGGGGAGGCCAGCCAGCCGCAGTGCAGAGCAGCCGCAGAAACTGGCCTTTGCGGACATCCACGCAGGTCATGTTTCCTTTGGACTCTAGGGAGAGACAGGAGAGGGCGAGACAGAGACAGAGAGAGCAGAGAGAAAGACACACAGACAAATGTACAGAAAGAAACAGAGTTCGGCAGTGAGCGAGAGGAAGAGAAATACCCACAGACCCCAAAAGAGAGACAGAGAGTGAGGGCTTGTAGAACGAGTTGGTCCCCTCCACCTACCCTGGGCTTTCCACTTCTCCAGGGTAGGGCCAGCCCTGCCACTGGACCTCCCACCTTGGGCATTGTCATGCAAAATTGTGATCACCAGGTCTCTGGGGGCGCCTGCAAGAAGGGTGTGGGCTCTCTTCAGGAAGGATGTGCTGACTCCTCAACCAGTGCCCCCTTCTCACGGGGCCTTGTGGTTCCTGCCTTTCCTGGGACCCCCAGACAAACTTCTCCACACTCACACCAGGATGCTTTATCTGGCCAGAACTAAAGCCGGGACTCACAGGCCACACTCAGCCGGACAGTGTTCTCCACAGTGTTGCCAGCTCTGAAGTCCGCTCGGCAGGTGAGCTGAGTGCCGTGGTCCCTCAGGCGTGGTGTGAGGCTGATTGCTGACAGGAAGGAGGTCTGGGGTCTGCTCTCAGTGCTGGAGAGGGCAGGCCCTGACCAGGAGATGGAAGGGGCCACACATTGCTGAGAGATACAGGGAACCATGCAGATGATGGTCACTGCTCGCCCAGGCTCCAGGGTCTCAGGAATGAAGATGTGTGGCTGAGTTAGGGCTGGTGGACAGAAAGAGACCAGATGCTCATGATCAGGCCGTGGTTGGGAGACACTGCCTCTATCCCCAGACTGGGAGCCCAGGCCCCGCACACCCCACCTGTCACTTCCAGCCGGAACATGTCCACCAGGAAATTATATTTCAGCTTCTCTCCCTTCTCTACCCGGAAGAAGTAATTTTTCTTGTCCTCTTTCTGGGCATCTCTGATGAAAAGGGTACAGTCATTCCTGTGGGGGTCCCCCAGCAGCTGGAATCGACCCTGAGTCCATCCTTGCGTGGGTCGAGCTGGGTTTGTGGAAGCCACTGGTTCCCCGGTGTCTGTATTGGTTCCTTCTGTGAACCAGTAGCCATGAGCTTGGGAGGAATCCAGACCTGCCTCCTGGCTGGGGTAGGAGAAGGAGCAGGGCACGAGGACCCACAGCCCTTCCTGCACCTTCACCAGGCTCTGCACCTGCACCTTGTAGCCTGGTTTCTGAGCCTGGGACCCTGTAGGGAGATAGATGGACTCAGTCCGCCTCCCAGCCCTGTTCCACCCAGCAGCCCACGGCTCTTGGCCACATACCGCCCAAGGACAGCAGCAGCAAGGAGAGGCATAGCTGTGTGTTCAGACGCTGCATCCTGAGCTGTTCTGAGGCAACAGGAGCAGGGACAGGAGGGAAGTGCAGGAGGCTGAGTTGTGGCGACACACGTGACGCACACTTCTGCTAGGGAGACCAAGGCTGGCAGGAGCCTCGCCCAGCGGCCCATCTCCTGGGGGCTGGGGTGTCTGCTAGGCCTTTGAATGTGAGGAGCTGGGCCTCCCCAGACTCCTCTGGGGCAAGGAGGAGAGACACCAGGCCTGTGTCTAGCTTTGGGGCCTGGCTGGGGCTAGAGGAAGGAAAGGGTTCTCCCCTGGGCCCTGGGCAGGGGACTCTGGGGTGCAGAGGGAACTCCTCTGTGTGTGTGCTTAAATGGACTTTCAGACTTAAAAAACTGCTCAATCTTCCTATTTTTCCTTGGTATAAGAAAAACTGGAACAGGAAGGGCTGGGAAGGTGGCTCAGTGGCAGAGTGCTTGCCTAGCATGCATGAAGCCCTGAGTTCGATTCCTCAGCACCACAAACACTGAAAAAGCCAGGAGGGGCACTGTGGCTCAAGTGGTAGAGTTGTAGCCTTAAGCAAAAGAAGCTCAGGGACAGTGTCCAAACCCTGAGTTGAAACCCCAGGACTGGCAAAAACAAAACAAAACAAAAAACAAAAAACCCTCCAACATTCATTGGAGAACTTAGGCTGAGAAAAGTTTTTTTTTTTTGCTATTAAAATTCAAACTTCACAGATCTTCCTCTTTTTTCTTTTCTTCCTCCTTTTTCAGCTTCTTCTTCTCCTTCTTCTTCTTCTTCTTCCTCTTCTGTTTTATTCTTTTTCATTTTGTGCTCCTCCTACAGTTTGGACTCAGGACCTGGAAACCACCCTTAAGCTTTTCCACCAAAAGCTGATGTTCCTCCACTTGAACCACAGCACTGCTTCTGGCTAATTGGAGATTAGCATCCAATGAACTTTCCTGCCAGGGCTGGCTTTGAACTGCAATCCTCAGATCTCAGCCTCCAGATAGTTGGGATTAGAAGGTGTGAGACCCAGGTGCCCAGCTCTTTTATTATTATTTCTTTTTCCTCTACATCAACAGCCCTAGGCCTTTCTCTGGCCCTGTCTTTATACTCTCCCCCTATTCCTGCCCCTATAAGCCTTAGTTCCCCAGACATTTCCTATCTTTGTCCTAATTGCTCCTTCCTCTTTGGCCATGGTATCATAGTACCATTCACTACCCCACTGCCCATACAGATGGCTTAGAGAGATCATGAGGAAAACGGGCAGGGTGTGCAGAGACGGGAATAAAGGCTCCACCCCAGTCCCAGTCTCTCCTGACCCTTTCTGGAAGGACTGTTAGTCCTGGGCACCCCACCTCCCCAGAAACCCAGAGGCATACCCCGCAAGGCCAGCTGCTTTGAATAATGAAGAGTCTCAGAACTGGCAGGAACTTACCACACACTGGGAAAGGCCCTGGGACCCGCACACCAACACACGAATTGAGAAGCTACAGAGCGTATACAGATTCTTTTTTCTGTCCTTGTCATTATTTCCTAAACAATAAACCACAGCAATGAGTTACACATAGTTTGTGTCAGGTATCAGTCATGAGAACCCAGACAGCAGAGTCACAAGTTCAAAGCCAGTCTGCTCCCTGGATGGAGGGTGTGGGGTATAACTTGAATTCCCCCATTGGCCAAACACCACTGCAGGGTATGGCTGGCTGCTTCAGCCATGTGGACACCAGGGGGCACTTGGAGTCCAGATTTCTGCAACAGGCTTGGTCCCATGCAAAATGAGAGCTTGCTGGGTGGAATGTGGGGTCCTCCCTGAGCCTGCAGCTTGGGGAGAAGGCTCTGTAGGTAAATGCTGGCAATGTCACAACGCCTCAGATTGCACTAGTATGTGTCACAGGGTGGGAGTGGGGGTGTCCTAGGGTGCCATGATTCTCATACATCTCCCTTTGTGCCAGTAAGTCATGCAATAAACATGCGTTTATTCATCTTTGTGTAAGTTATGTGGAAAGAGTCTGACTCCTTTTGTGTTCATACAGATACCCTTTCTGTATGTTTGTGCTGGAGCTGGGGCATGAACTCAGGATCTAGACAATGTCCCTGAGTTTTTGTTCACAAGGTTATAGCTCTACTCCTTGAACCACAGCTCTGCCTCCAAATTTTGGTGGTTAATTGGAGAGGAGAGCCTCATGGACTTTCCTGCCCAGGCTGGCTTCAAACCATGGTCCACAGATCTCAGGCTCCTGAGTAGCTGGAATTATAGGAGTGAGCCAATGAGCTCCCAGCTAACTACCTCTTTTGGAGGAAACCGGAAGGAACTTCCACAGGGTTGGACTGTTTTACATGAAGGGAGCAGGGTCCAGTGTCTGGATAGCCATGTAAACACTTATTAGTTGTTTTTTGTTCCATGACAACTGTCCAACCAAGTGGCCTGCAGTACTGCAGTTTTGGTTGAGTTTTGCATTTCCTCAATGGTGAATGTCTTCTGTGCTCCAGGCTCTTATGGGTATTTGAGAGGTGATCACTGATGTGGCTGTGGTGCTGTGACCCATATCCATGGTCCATGACGCTGACCTTAAATTGGGTGACCATTGAGAGCCACCTGGGGAGCAGGCTCACATACGCCCCCAGCAGGGTGCAGGCTGGGCCTGGGGGTGGGCAGGATGAGGACAGGTGGGGAAACAGAGGTAAGAGACTCTGGAAGGAAAGTCATAGAGGCAGAGGCCACAAAAGGCTTCCTGTGTACAACGTGGCACTCATCCCATCTCTGTCCACAGAAGAACTTCAGGTGGTTCAGCTGTGGTGGTGGCACGTGTTGGCTGTGTTTGGAAGCGGAAGCCAGTGTGGGTGAGGGGGCGGGGTGGAGGAGGGAGGCATGGAGGAAGGTCTCTGACAAGGGAAGACACCAAAGGCAGGATGGAGGTAGGATTGGGAAAGGGGAAAAGACAGAATGAATAGAGCCAGGTGCTGGTGGCCTGTAATCCTAGCTACCCAAGAGGCTGACATTTGAGGATTGTGGTTCAAAGTTACCTGGGGCAGGAAAGTTCCTGAAACTTCTTCATCCCTGGTGTGGGATAGCATCATGTCTTACACCTTACACCTGCCCTCACTTGGGCAGATACAACTCTCTGATATGATGCATCTGCTACACAGCTTTTATGAAGGACACTTACAGTTCCTGACACAGAGCCCCAATAACCCAATTAAAATGTGGGTCCTATACCCAATGGGGTCTTACGACATCTTCAACATGGAGTGGAGCACTGGCAAATCCTGAAAGCAGCAGCTTAGAAAGCCACATTCTCGCCACATGTCGCTCACAGAACACCAGAGCAGAAGACCAGCAAGCTACTGGTGGTGATCCGGAGAACGCAAACAGAGACAAACCCCAGTGCACAGAACCTGCACGGAGACCCATCTGCCACCCCTCGGCTGGAGGTTGGTGCACAGACCTCGCCCGAGGAGTGGCCCTTACCCAACACCAACACATATAGCATCAACAGAGGCAGAGGCAGAGACAGAGGAGAAACACGCAGAGCCACCACTGCCCAGCCCAACCCACAAGCATCTCAACTGAACTCTGATTGCAGTGGCAACCAGCAACCTACGTCACACAGAAACAACAACTAGCTCCAGGGTGAGTACCTCACAGGGGACAGTGTATCCCTCAAGGGAGACCAGAGCTGGTGGGAACCCCTAGAACTTGACCCAGACTCCTACCCCAACACCTGGACTACAGGACCAACTAGAACTGGGAATTGTTCGAGAGCTCCACCGGCCTGTGGAGCACATCCAGCTGGCCAGGCTAGAACAAAAGCACCCTTGGCAGGGAGCTTAAATACCCAAGCCAGGAACAGTGTCCTTGGGTCACAGCAACGAACAGTGAAAGAAACTTGAACTGTGTACTACAGGCTGCATAACAAAAGCAGGATACACAGCAGCACAGGTCCAACTGGTATGCCCAGGCCAGGGAGCAGGAGCCAGGACCAGGCTTGGGGATGAGGGCCTGAGCAACACAACCAACTCCTCCCAATTGAAGTCAGAAGGTGAGTATATGCCTCAGCAGAGGGGGAGAAAACAGGGAAATTCACCCCCTGGGAATCACACTCATGACAGCAAAAGACATGGTTGTCCAGGGCAAGAGAACCAGACACCCAAACCCCACCAGAACCTGACACATATATCCCAGGCCAGGAATTAGGCACAGGCCTCTAGCACCTGATAATAGTCAGGAGCTCAGGCTGGTTAGGTGACTCAGCGGTAGCTTGCTTGCCCTGTGAGCATGAGGCCCTGGATCTGATTTCTCAGCACCACATAAACAGAAAGGGCCAAAAGTGGTACTGTGGCTCAAATGGTAAGGAGCTAGCCTTGAGCTGAGGAACTGAGGGACAGCGCCCAGGCCCAGAGTTCAGACCCCACAATTGGCCAAAACAAAAAAAACAGAACAAAACAAAGAAAACAACCCCTCCCAAACACAAAAACAAAAAAGAAAACAAAACAAACAAACATCAGGAGCCCATAGCATACTCTAGCAACTGGGAGAGAACATCCAGCAAACCCGAACTCGCCAAGAGCACCTGTAGGATTAAACAGGAGCAGTCTAGGCCACTCAGCCATTCTAAAGACAGGAACTGCCAGTGATCTACAACAAATTTCCCAGAGCCCTACGTGGGCTCAGACCAACAGCTGGAGGTTGGCCCCCAACAGAACTGAGACCAGGTACAGACTCTCTCTGCCAACCCAGAAACAGCAACCAACCAAAAACAGACACATATTGACCAAAACAAAATTTCAGATTGGTATCCAATATTCCCTGAATCCCCATGCAAAAATCACAGAGAAAAATTACAAGGTTTATCAATACCCAGGATAGCAAGCTACCCCCAAATGCCAGCAGCCACCCAGGGGAGAGCCCCAATGGGAGCAAAGCAGGAATGGAAGACAAAAACTACATACAAGAGAGGCTGGAGGCAATGACTCAAGAATTAAAGTAAGAAATAGACCAGAAATTTAAAGAACACAGGGACCAACTAGTGAAAG